TATTTATCGATGGTCTCGCATTTATGAATCTACGCCGCACAGGAATATATTTCACGAGAAAAACTTCAGTTTCAGCTTTAGTTTATTCATCCCAAGGGAAAATAAAGTTTTCGAATGACTTTTTTCCTATGCAAATATCGTTGGATATACATATATATTGCACCGAAAATGATGTTTTGACAAATATCCAACGACGTTCATGAGTCTTGTATTAAAATAAAAATAAATTTGCAGTGGTCGGTAGCACTTTGCACTCTCTCACTTCGATAGTCTTGTATTGATTCGCATAGAGTAAGGTTTCTTGTCAGAATGATCCAATATTATTTTCTTTCGACGTGTTATTCCCTATTAATGATTATTATACAGAAACGTGTGGTCCTGTTAGTATAACCAACCTGTTAGACACAATATATTATATAGTGTGGCCCATCCATGTGTGGACGGAATATCACTCATAAATAAATACATTTTAGGAAAATCTATTTATGGGATGTTATACATGACACTTGAGGGTACATTTCTAAAATATTGGCCATTATACAGGGTGTCCCAATTTCGACCTACACCTCAAAGTTGTGATTTTTCAAATGGAGTGCATCAAATTTTATTACATATTTGGAAGAACCAATTCAAAAGAAGAAAATTGATATAACATACTATGGGGTTTTGGTAATTAGCTACAGAGATATAAGATGTTTTGACAAGAAAAACCCCCCACTTCGGCAACCCCTCAGTCCTCCATTTTTTAATCTGGAGTGGTGAATTTTGTATAAAAAAAAACGTACACACCTCAGACTTTATCTTATTTGTTACTTTTTCGAATTTTAATTTTTGATCATACAGGGTAGTCAAAAATGCAAATTGTAGTTTTTCTCAAAAATTTCAAATGCATCACCCTGTATATTTGTGTAAGTTTCGATTCAATTTTTGATAAGCTTTTTCTTGACACATGAGGGTTTTTACGGCTATTTCTTCGGTTATTAGCACGTCTTTTATGGAACGGCTTAATTCCCTAAAATATCACATCATCTTTGGAAACAAATAAATTGTTGATTAGTTACAAACTGTCAAAATTAGCTTTGTGAGCATTATAATAAAAACGTGTTTGAAAATGAATTTTTCTAAAGAACAAATGTTAAATATGGTGTTCGTTTTGGGCGAATCCTAAAGAAATAGTTTCCTAGCATCTCGCATTTATAAGCAACGCTACCCTAATATGCGGCATCCAAGGCCGGAAACATTTTCCACACTACGAGAACATTTTGAATGAAGCGGGGCAGCGGAATATAGTAAAAATGTATAAATAATCCAAGTGTCACCAATAAGGCGAATCAGTTTTGAGGTTCTACGAGATTAAAGTTGCAGGAAAATCCCCATTTAAGTGCACGGCAAATTGGAGCAGAAATTGATATATGCAGAACTTCTGTCCAAAGGATTATTCATAAACATAGGTACCATCCATATCACATATGCTTGCATCAAGGCCTTCGTCCTCAGGATTTCGCAGCTCGAATTGAGTTCAGCAGAATAATGCTAAATAAAGTGAATGAAGACACTACTTTTCTGGATAAGGTTCTTTTTAGCCATGAGGCAACTTTTAACAGCATAGGTGTTGTCAATAGGCATAACATGCACTATCATGTGACGGAAAACCCTTACTGAGTTAAGCAAATAGATTTCCAAAATAAATGGAGCTTGAATGTTTGGGGAGTAGTTATCGGCAGACAAGTTATCATTTCTAGTTATATTTCTTTTTCGACAACAGATGAACAGGCACAGAATACTTAAATTTTTTGATCGAGCATTTGCCTTTGCTTTTGGAGGATGTCAACTTGCTAACTCGGATGGATATGTACTGCCAACATGGCGGCGCACCTGCGTATTATCATAATCGTGTGCGTAACTATTTGGACACCTGGAGTAACAATCGTTAGGTCGGTCGTGATGGGCCTATATTTTGGCCTCCTATATCACCGATGGACTTGTTTCTATGGGGCTACGTTAAGCAAGAGGTTTATAGACATCCACCATCTACCCCAGAAAATATGAAGGAAAGGATTAAGAATGCTTTTCTGAACACAAGGGAATACTATGCTGAGGGATGTGCAACGGTCATTTATCCAAAGACTAACGGCTGTGTATTCAACATGGTGGAGATATTTTCGAGCAGTTTCTGTAGATTAGGACTTGAGTAGTGATAGTTGTTTGTTTGTGTTGTTGTAATAGTTGTTTTTCTCTATTACGCTTGAAGCTGATTTATACTGTTATTAGTTTTTACGTCAACGCTGTAATCTTAGTGGCAATATGGAACTAGCCCACTGTTTGTCTTTTGTTTCAATGGATGATGTGACTTTTTTCCGTAATTTTGGTGTGTTGTTCTATTAAAAGCTTAATAACTCAAAATCTAGTGATTTTATCTGAATCAAACCTTGTACCAAAAAAGCTTATAAGAAATTGTATCCAAACTTGCACAATATACAGGGTATTTGAAATTTTTAGACAAAGTTCAATTCGCGTTTTTGACCACCCTTTATGAGCAAAAATGAAAAATCGGAAAAGTAACAAATAAGATAAAAGCTGAGGTGTGTAATTGCTTTATACAAAATTCAGCACTCCAAATTTCAAAATGGCGGATTGAGGGGTTGCCGAAGTGAACGGCTTTTCTGGACAAAACACCTTACATCTCAGTAGCTAATTATCAAAACCCCATAGTGTGTTATATCAATCTTTTTCTTTTGAATTGGTTTATCCAAATATGCAATCGAATTTTAGACATTCCATTTAAAAAATCACAACTTTGACATGTAGGTCAAAATTGGGACACCCTGTATAATTGCCAATATTTTAGAAATGTGCCCTCAAATGTCATGTATAACATGCTAATAATAGATTTTCCCAAAATATATTTGTTTATGAGTAGTATTCCGTCCACACATGGATGGGCCACCCTGTATACTGGAGAGCATAACTATAGCCCCATCAACAATTTTCATGTTTTTTCTACTTGCTTCAAATAAAACTTTAACTTACAGGGATGAATTTGTTCTTAAATCATTTAGAATAAGCTCCATATTTATGAATTGTGTTTATCATCCATGTAAGTTATATTAAGTCAAAATCGAACCAAATGAGAGAAGGCCGAAAGCTGTTCGTGACGTTGTGGTTGTGCTTTCCAGTTAAGGAGTCCTTGAAGAATTTTTGGCTGAAGCTGTGAATCAGTAATCTTTATATTATGTTGCTACAAAACTACTACAATTATTCGAGAATTATTATTATGCATATACTGTAACGTTTTTACATAACTCGTTAATCTCCTTATAGCGGCCGCGGTGCCCTGGTATTTAGGTTTCTGCCTACGCGATTACTTTGTTTTAATCTAAAAAAATATCCACATATTTCGCATAATATTTACGCGTGTGACTTCAGCTACCCAGGAACACGCAGTACCCTTTTCATGCGAAGGGTCGGACCCTAATTCAGCAAAGCCGACGGTGCCCCAGCCGCACCATGATCGAGTTGGTCGAAGACACGCGACGATCCCAGGGCACAGTTTTCCAGATATTATGCACCATGTATAGTCAGAGCCATTTGTTTAGAAAAAATCTAAAATAACAGTTCATTAATTTTCATTTTATAACATCACTAGCTGCAAGGGTTTTCGTGGTCAGCAAATTCACAAGATACCAGAACATATAAAAGTTGTCTCATGGTGGAAGTACAAGTCAATAATTTCAATTCTTTTAAACTAATAATAGTGTTTTTACTGACATTCATCCACGGTCTGTTGTCAAGTTACAAAGGGTTTCATAGCCGTCGAATATATATATATATATATATATATAAACTTGAGACGTGGTCATTGTCGTCTAGACCAGTTAGGTGAAAAATTAAAGCTTCCGCCTTTTGTTGGGTACTTCGACAAAATTTAAGCAAGGAGGACTCTTTATACTTTTTTTATTCTCTCTAGCATTCAATGGTCTTTGCCATCATCATCAGGAGCTGCAATTACATTGATAACAGTAGCAGCAATAGTGTAAAATGAATTTAAATTAACTTACAGTAGTATGTGAGGATGTTGCTAAATGTTGTTTACGTAAAGGATGAGGGAAACACCTAGTAACATGGTGAAAGCTGGATAAATGGTACAATGGTCAAAATTATACAAACCACACACTACACAGCTGTATGACAAGACCAAGTTAAAACAGATAAAAAAATATTTAAAACGAAAGTTAAGCATTACATCGTGAAGCCACTTGATGATTGCACAAAATGGTGGGCATGAAATCATGAGTAAGATGAACCTTTTGACAGATGGCCGAAGGTTAGCAGTGTCCGTGTAGAATGATGGAACGAAAATTCTTTTGTAGGCGTGTGCTACGTTGCCAAATCACTTCAGATGGTGTGATTTTCAAGATATGTTGGGTAAGAACTTGTCAACCCGACCAGAGGCAGTTGAATTAACTATATTATTATTAGATGGGCAATTGAATTAACAGCTAATATTTAATTATGAGGAAACAGTTATTAAAATTTTGAATAGAATGGAGTTTTTTGGTGCAATAGACCAAAAAACAGATTCCATTTATGATTGTGAAGAGTCAAAATCACATCTCTCCAAATTTTGACTCTTCACAACCATAAATCGTGATCCTGTGCGCGCCACTGAGTGTCAAAAACGTGTTTTGTTTACAGCTATTCGATATCGTGTTTAGTTCACAATCTAGTGCCTATTAAATTATTGTGTAAGTACCAGTATTCTAAGAGGCCCTTTATCTGCCACTGTGAATGTTTGAAAGCTGAAATTTGAAGGATTTAAAATTTATTCGAAGAAGAGACATCTTCGCTACTACCGTTTATCAGCACAACATCTGGCAGTGGCGTACTAATTCTGAGCGATAAACAATGCCATCAAGAGCGCCTTGTAAATGTTGCAATCAGATGTTCGATAGTCATCTTCTAATCACCTGTTCCGTTTGTACAGAGAAATATAATCACAGTTGTGTATCTATTACTGCTAATGAAGTTCGAACGCTAAATGCAAACAAGGGTTACGATTGGACTTGCGTCGATTGCCGAGCCATTGGTAAAGATATCAAGGGACTAAGGGCCCTGATCATAGAGCTACAAAATGACATCATATCGGAAGTTATTGAAAGGCAAAAGCGCAAAACTAACATAATTCTATTCAATGTTAAAGAGCCGGACCAGGCCAAATCGAAAAAGGAACAAACCGAGAGTGACTCCACTACTGTCTTGGATATAGTATCTAAAGTTGATCCTGAGCTAACGCTAACCAACTTAAAACCTATTAGACTGGGGCCATTCGCTGGAAACAAAATCCGTCCTATAAAAATCACAGTCGAAAGCCCTGATATTGCTCAAAAAGTCGCTATGAACGCAAGAAAGTTGAATACTAGCAGGATCTATAGGAATGTCAGGATAGCTCCAGACCGAACGAAGAAGCAGCTGGAGTACTATAAGGAAGTCAAGCGTGAGCTGACGGAGCGGCACAATGCTGGTGATACAAATTGTCGCATAAAATATTTCAACGATATCCCAAAAATAGTACAGTTAAACTAGATTTGCCCAGCAGTATTCAGGTCGACCCAGTGAAATTGTACTACCAGAACGTACGGGGACTTAACAGTAAGGTGGATGCGTTTTCTTCCAATGCCAGTGATTGTGAGTATAACATAATTGCACTTACGGAAACCTGGCTGAAACCAGTTGTTTTGTCTAGTGAATTATTTCTTGAGAACTATGATGTACATCGAAAAGACAGGGATCACAACCGAATCGGTTTATCGGCAGGTGGCGGAGTGTTATTGGCTATGGATGCTGACCTCAAGTCTGAAATTGTGAATACGAGTGAATTTGAAGACGACTTTTCTGAAATTGATCTTTTGCTTTGCAAGTGCAGTATATCTCGCTATATTTTATATGTCGCACTCATTTATATTCCACCTCATGTATCAATCGATTGTTTTGAAAATTTCCTCGAAAGGGTCGAGAATATGTACTATTTGTATTCAAAAAAATTAATTGTCATAGGTGACTTTAATTGTACGGCTTATGTTGAGGGTAATAACGAGGATAGAAAAACCTCCATCATCAACAATTGGATCACTTTGTCTGGTATTAACCAATATAACACTATTAGCAATAGTTACGGTAAATTATTAGACCTGGCAATAAGTAATGTGACACTTAGTGTATCTCGAGACCCATTCCCACTTATAAATGAAGATCCCCATCATCCCGCTATATCTGTAACCATAAATCAATTTCATTTTGAAGTGAAAAAATTTGCCACCAACACTCAGCATAAGCGGTATAACTTCAGAAAAGCTAATTTCCCCACGCTTTATGAGGAACTAGTAACCACAAACTGGGATTTCTTAGATACTGCGCTTGATCCTAACCAAGCAGTTGAAACTTTCTGCAACAACTTATTTCCAATACTTGACAGGCATGTTCCTTCTGCAAAAATATTCAAGCATAAGTATCCTGTATGGTATTCACCATGTTACTAGGTGTTTCCCTCATCCTTTACGTAAACAACACTTAGCAACATCCTCACATACTACTCCTGATGATGATGGCAAAGACCATTGAAAGCTAGAGAGAATAAAAAAAGTATAAAGAGTCCTCCTTGCTTAAATTTTGTTGTATATACAAGTATATATATATACAGGGTGACTTCGAAGTTGAGTCATTTATTTTAACAGTGAGTAGATCTGATCAAAAGAAATGTTTTTTTCCTTTACCATTTTTCTGGTAAAATTAAAGTAACAAAGTTATAGCCCTTTGGAAGTTTGAGTACCGCCCTGTCTCAATAATAATATTATGTGCTCGCGTTTGGCGACAACGGATATAATCCGCCGTATCGGTTCATCGCGTCGGAAACAAAAAAGCGAAAGAATTTGGAACGATGTTTTTACAATTATTTTATTCATTTGTATACAGTCAGTGTCAGTGAATAGTGTGTTGCGTGGCTCAAACGAAATAAAAATGGCACATGTTTATGCGGATCGGTTGCAACCAACCTCTCGTGCCTTTGTTAATGTAGTACAACGGGCTCGTGAATCAGGTGACTTAAGACCTCACAGGGGACCTCACGATCAAATACAGGTCCGCACTGAAATACTTGTCGGGAGGATACTTTATAAAACAAGGTAAAAAATTTAATTTTTTTTTTATTTTTACACACATATTTTGGTTTATCTTCCTTCTACAATCATTATCTGAAAATTAATGACTCAACTTCAAAGTCACCCTGTATAAACATACCTGGGTGTATAAAAGTCTACATGGATTCTATACGTGCAGCGTATTCCAAGTCGATCTATCCAGAATTGCATGTCAGTCAGAGTCAGTTTACTTGTTTAGGTCATAATCATCAAGTTTATGAATGACTAGCCTTTTGCCCCACGGTTTTACCCGCCCCACTAATAAAGTAACCAAATTTCAAAAGCATGCATGTTGACTGACAGTTTACTAATGCCATTAAAGATAAAAAATGTAATTGGAAGTTCATTGCATTACTTAAAAATAATGTTTCATGTTATTGACAGTTTCAAGCGTACTAAGTCGCGGGTAATAACTAGTGCAAAGTAAAACGTGTGTATCTCTTGACGGTCACAGGTTGAATGGGCGATGGGAGGTCGGATTGACTCTGACGGTGGAAGTTTGGGTACTTGCTACGATACTTGAAAACATACCTATAACCTTCTTCAGGTTTCAATAAGTAAGTGTATCTATCCATATTGTGGTTCTGATATGATGCTGACAGACTGGACAGACATTCACATTTTTATACATGGATGACAATTTGTTTAACTTCGAATTTAAATCTGCAAGCTACACAATTGCATTTCAAATAAATTTTTGTATACTTACATCTGAATCTGGTCCTTTATCCACTCCAGGACACGTGAATGTGACGTACTCATGGCAACGTTTGTGTACTACGAAACTACATACTGAAAACAAAAAACGAACTATTACGTTTTGGAACGATTGTAACTTTATACGAAATCTGTCACTTTTGAGGCTTTTGATGTTGAAGTCAGAAGACAACAAAACATTATTAAAGTCTACAATAATTATCATGCCATGTGACGCGTAAAACGTTAGACCTTTTAAATGGAGGAAAAAAAAGAAAGAGATTATATATAAAGTTATCAAGCATTTTAACAATATTCGTATTGTTGGGCAATAATAAAATCTGAAACCAGTTAAAAACAAAATTTCCAGTTCAATAATAACACAGGCCGACATACGTGAGCTGGTACTCTTACCCCAAAGTGTTTGATGCCCTGAATCCGAATCCGTGATCCGTACTCTCAATTCGTTCTAGTTTCCGAGACACCCTAACCCAACGGTACCAAAATGGCGATGTTTGCCTATATTCAAGGTTTCTGCATCATGGCTAATAATTTTTGTTTTGTCAATATGGCAGTTTGAAATTTTCATTTTTCTGAACTGCACTATTTTTGATTCTGTATACGTTATGGTTAGGTGGGCATCAAAGTTGTAGCTTGGATTATAATATACCAAAATTTTAATGCCAAGCTAATGTATTTTTATGAAATAAGACCTGCCAACTAAAAAATCCATAAATCCTCTACACCAGATTCATAAAGTATCTAAAACTTACCCAAATCACAAGCCCACAGCCCACCCTACTCTATTAAGACCGAGTTTAATGTTCTTACTGTTTGTATATCTATCAAAGTATCTTAAATATCTAGTCTTTTATTTGTTTTGAGAAAGTGTCCAATCGAAAGTTAAGATGATAAACTTGGTGCAGACTGGGAAGCGTGGATTGGGGGCTTGTTGTAAGTAAGTCTTGGATATTCATCATAAAGTATCTAAAACTTACCCAAACCACAAGCCCACAGCCCACCCTACTCTATCACGACAGAGTTTAATGTTCTTACTGTTTGTATATATATGTATATCAAAGTATCTTAACTGTCTAGTCTTTTTTTGTTTTGAGAAAGTGTACAATTGAAAGTTAAAATGATAAACTTGGTATAGACTGGGAAGCGTGGATTGGGGGCTTGATGTAAGTCTTGGATATTGTGAACTATATTGGTCCAGCTTTTATCAGAAAAAAGTAGATTTTTGTCTAAAAAAAATGTGCAATCGATAGTAAGTTCGGTCTGGATAGGGTAGAGTGGGTTGGGAACTTGTGGTGTAGGCAAGTTTTGGATATTGTAAACTAGATCGTTTCTATCTTTATCAGAAAAAAGTTTTTTATTTAAAATGATCTACGAGTATATTAGGTATTCACTTCTTGACTTGATTTACAAGCTGCTTGACTTAACTTGAAACAACTCAAGTCCAAGTCAAGTATTATATATTAGTAAAGTAAATCAAGTCATATAGTTTTTACGTCTAGTACTTGAAAATTTAAGCAGTCTCGATATTGATATTCTTTGTATTGAGTAGATTATGAACGAAAAGACTTTGTGACAAGTTACATAGGAAACAATACATACTGAACAAAATATTCTGATCATTGTATAACAATTTAAAGAACGATGAAACTTAATTAGAAAAAAAAACATTTCATTAGCTGATACAAAAAATGAAAAATTCTGAACTAGCTTTTCATTAACTAACCACGAGTTAAGCCACATGAGGCTCCTAATGAACGAATTCACAACTTTGATGCATACGAAACCATAACGTGTAGAGTATCAAATATTGTGAAGTTCAGAAGAATGAAAAATCCAAATTGTGATATCTTAGCGAAAGAAAAAGATATTTAAGCAACCTCAATGGCATTTGAAAAGGAAGGCTTATACTTTGTTATGATGGCTAGGGTTTTAAAAAATGCTTCGTCATGCTACATGATCTCAATTGAGAGATTTGAACCAGGGAATCGTATTCAGGGTATCAAAGACCTTCGGAGAAGTCTATTCTAGTTTCTGGGTAAAAATCTTGTCGGCCTGTGTTAAATAAAGAAGGAGGTGGGCTGATAAGTGCCATTTTTCGCCCATCAGCGAATAGATATGACATATATATTTATGAAAAGTATACTCCATAACAAAGAAGAAAACATACTTATTTCAAATGAAAACTGAAATTCGTGGTATACATAAATTAAATAATTATCTGAGTGTTATATACAGTAATGGACAAAAGTATATAGACAAATTAATATTGTGCTGTATTTCTTTTTTAACTTGTTTTATTAATACACCAACCTGTATACATAATTCGTTATAGAATAATACTCACTTATACATAAATAAATTCATTAGACTCCCTTTAATAAACCATTAATTGAAAAAAACTGGAACTATGAAGGACAAAAATATATAGACAAAGCAAAACAATTATAGAAAAAAGAAGCAAAGTTCATTGAATTATAGAAAACCAACCATGTTTGCGTTAATATTTTGTAGCATAACTGACATGAAACTGTACTAAACTAATGTTAAATAGAATTTGTCTAGATGTTTTTGTCCCTCATAAAAAAGTGCTTATATTCAGAATTGTATTGTGTTCATTGCAGATAATGTGAAAAAAAAGAATTTAGTTTTTCTACTAATAACGCATTTGTTTATGGAGCAATGAAGTATGAATTCGTTTTCTAAAGGTATTTAGGTAAATATTCATATTTGTCTATATACTTTTGTCCAATACTGTATGTTTATTAAACAATAATAAAAGATAATCAGTTTTCATACACACAATATATTTTTTACTAATCTTCTTCCTTGTCTTCTTCATTCGAATCACTATCAGACCATCATTCAGTATCATCAGAGGTACTTGTTGAAGTAAGAACTTTTGTTGTCCTTACAGAAGATGAAGTGGGAGTCTTTTGAGATTGAGCCATGCGGAATGCATATGATCTGCATTTAGGACACAACTTAGAGCCAATCTGCAGATCACAGTTTTTAGATTTTCTAAGTATTGCTATAATGTTTTTGTTCGAGCAGCTACGGAAATCACTGTTTGTTTTTCGCCACGTTTTATAACAATTACACTGGCATCGAGGCATTATTGTTTCATCAAGTTTTTCAATAAACGTTGAACGCGACAACACAGCACAGTTTCTGAACACAGTCTGAACACGCAGCGATTGCAGCGTGACTCACACTCTCCCGCAGCATATATTACGTATTTTTGGATTGATGCGCTCACTGAACCAAAACAAATAAATACTCATATACAAGCTTATAATAAGTAGACTCATTGAGTATTAAAGCTAATGTGGTTCATGGAACGCTTCGTAGGGAAAACATGATTCAACGGTCCTTAGCAATAATTTCTGAAGCATATTACATTATTTATACCGTAAATATTATATAATGAAAAAATACATGTCTTGAAGTTCACAAATAAATTCAATAATAGTTTGGAATCGAACTTATTATTTTTGAGTGTGTTATAGGCGAAACATGGCACTTATCAACCCACCTCCTTTGAGATTACGATATGTAATGTCATGGAGTATTTTGAAAATGTTCTTGTTGTTGAGAAACGAAATATCATATAATAAGTTCCAAACAAAATTTCCATTCCAATAAGGAGAATAATGATAGTTATGGAATCAGTATCCGCTAATCGTTTACCAATCTGAAATATTTTTATCTTCTTAGCAGGCCCACCTTTGTTCTGGCTAAATTGATGAATGATAACATGCCTTGCTTGTCAAAATAATTGTTTTGCATAGAAACAAATCAACATCCAGATATAGTCATCTATATATAGCGGGTCTACCGAAATTGCAGGAATTTCGAAGTACACGAGAAATGAAAACAAAAAAATCTCTTAGCCAGAGTTGATACAGGCAAAATATGCTCAGAAATAGTTGGTCATAGGTAAACAATAAAATACCAGGTCTCTTCTTAATTTAGACTTATCAAAGTCCCCTAATTCTGAATATTACAGTTTGATTTCTCTAGGACTAAAATGTAATAACCTCAACTTTAAAGATAACTGACAACAAGATCTTTGCAACATTACTAATATTTTTATTTATTTAATCAGAATACAAATTGAAATTACCTTGGCACTGAAATCCTTGTTTTCCGAAGCCCCTGTAACAAAAAGTAAGATTATAATGTCTATCGTTCAATAATATTCGGCAATACAAGATCTTATGATCTTTGACTACACATTCATAGATAAAATGAATCCTCCGAAAGTGCTTGATCACACAATTCCTTGATTAAATAGGTAGCATTAATTAATGTTGTTACTATAAACATTTGAAGATTCATTCAACAATACTTTTTGAAAAAAAAAGTCGTGGATATGCCTCAACTGCTTCAAATTCCGTCATGCTTAATAAGACACCGTAAAATGTAAACATTGCTGAGAGGACTGAGAGTAATAGCAGGAAAATTAGCTTCCTAACAAAAGCAAATCAGTGAAGCAAAGCAGACTGTAGCATATTTTAGAAAGCGTAAATATAAAAGACTAAATGGTAATTTTGTGTAGCTATAATAAAGATTATAATAAGGGTATAAAAACAAATTATAGAGTCGAGCTCAGAAAACTCATCTTTGTTCACCTGTTAAACAGCAAAACAACCAGAAGAAAAATATGTTTTGCATCAGAAAATATTTTATCCTCGGACGCGCGTCATCTGAACTAAGCGTTACAGAGAAAATCATGGCATTGCTCTCCATGTCACCCAGACCACATCATGGTTGAAACTATTAAATTTTTTGTGGTAATAAAAAGTGTATTCGGTTGGGCATTCCCGAGATTTTTCCGACAAAGACGAAGCGATGTCGGCCACTCTGGGGCATTATATCAAGCGAAGAAGTAAAACCTTTCTCAGTCCATTACAGAAAGCGAGTGACACAAGTGCCATTTAGTCAGACTACTTGGCACTTGTAGGGATCGCCACAGGCCAACCCTTGGATCTTGCGCCGTGAAAATGTTGCAGTGAAGTTGTGGTTAGAAAAAAATGGCGTCAAATAGGTTGACTTTCCGGGCAACGCCGTCGTCAGTTATGTTCAGCGCAAGTAAGACCCTATCGAAACAGCGTCATATACATTATATACTGGATAGAGGATAGTTGCTATGCTATGTGTTGCCCCAGAGACCATGCTGATAGGTTTCCAAAAATGCACGAAATAGCTGTTTGTGGTTGCCTGTCGTGGGTTGGACAGACGAAAGTAGCATGTTTAAGTTAGATCCTATAATTAAAAAGTTATACATATATATATATATATATATATATATATATATATATAATCAAAATCCTATCTACTCGAAGGTGTAAGGTGTATAAAATAGTATAATATAAATCTACTTCCCGCTCAAACTTGTGTAGAATATATCATTGCAGCCCACTGCTTTTTGTTTTTTTGTCAGCTTCACTGCGATTTAGATCTCCAAACCATCTTAATTGTTGTACTTCAACTCTATGCAAGATTGGTTCTACTCCCAGTTCTGACCTTACTATATCATTCCTGATTTTGTCTCGTCTAGTTATTCCTTTGACTTTCCTTAAAAATTTCATACCTGCTGCATGAATCTTGCTCTTTAATCTGTTTGATAGCACCCAACCTTCGCTACCATAAATTAATGTTGGCCTAAATATGGTCTTGTAAACAATCACATTGGATTTCCTTCTAATTTTCTTGTTTCCGAGGAAGGCTTTGCTCATTGTATGATATATCTTTAATGCTTTATTAATTCTTTCATTTAGTTTAGCTTCCATACTGCCTTCACGCTGTATCATAATTCCAAGATATTTATAGATATTTACCTGTTCCAGTTCATTGTTATTAATTTTGATTATTTCCTTGACATTTTTTCCGATTACCATTACTTTAGATTTTGCTACATTAATTTTCAGATTTCTTATTTCTATTTCGGCGTTCCAAAGTTCTAGATTAGTTTGCAGGTCTTTTTCCCGTTCAGCACAGATCATGAGATCATCGGCAAATGCACATTCTGACAGGCTAACCATTTCCAGTTTGTAATGACCAATGTTCACTTTTTTGAGTTTGTGTTTTATTGTTTTTATGATGTCGTCTACGATAATTATAGAAAGGGTATGACAGACGAAAGTAGCATGTTTAAGTTAGATCCTATAATTAAAAAGCTAGTTATGAACGTTATGAACGAAATTAAACAGATCATGTCAGTCAACAGGTCCCTACCCTCAGTACCGTAGCCCCTCCCCAATATATTAGCATGATGCGTCACACGCGGCAGAGTACCCAGTCACGCAGGACACATATGAATACCAGCACGCTGGCCGCGGCCGTTGTCAAAAACATTTTTCTATCGTTCTTAATATTAAGGCAAATGTATGGGGCAAGTGTATTAATGTACTGACATCAAAAATTACGAAACTTTTTCGTCATTGGCATGGGAGTTACCTTGTGAGAAAATTTTATCAAAATTTTACCAGTACTTCTCAAGTTATACAAGTTATAGATGGGCCAAGAATTGAAGGACAAACAGACATACCGACGGAAATTAGTAATATGGTTTACTGTGATGTACTTGATACATAACACCAAAAAAACACAATGTCTTGTATTCGAAATTATTATTATCTCGATTACAATACTTCCTTACCCAGTAGCCCAGGAAGTAAAAAAAGAAGGGATAATGGTGAATATTCGATGTAGGCTACGAGGGTCGTTTTTAAAGTAAGAATGCATTGTGCCCGCGCATCCTGCCTCGTGGCACCGTTCAACCTCAGACACTCATGGCCAGTCTCTGATTACGCTGTCATTACGTTTCACGTCTCTGTCGGTGTTGGTAGTGTAGTTATACTACTTTGTTTGTCACCATGTCAATCCGTAAGCGCGCCGATTGTGAAGTGCGCTCAGTAATTTGGTTTGTAAACACAAAAAAAGTTCTTCTTGCTGAAATTCTCCAGCAGCTTGTTGTATTAGGCGTGCTATTCAAAACCGCCGATGGATCCTGGTCTCTAGCGCTGTCGTTTTACTTCATGACAACGCTCGGCCTCACTTTGCGTCAACGCACAAGCTCCTCGAAAATTACATGTTGTAATAGCCACCATAAACATGTTGAATGTTTATGGTGGCTATGTTGAAAATTAAAAAAATATTTATATTTTAGTTTGTAACACAATTTTATAACTAAAGTATCTGACGTGATTACAAAACGGTTCATACCTAAAAATGACTCTTGTAGTAAATTTCTACAGCGTGATAGTTGGACACATCAAGTTGACGATTTGCTGGATTGTAGGAAAATTATGTTGTATCGAAGCTCAAATTATTGTGCCACTTTTGAAATATTTATATATTTATATGTCTTTAGCGAACAAATTAGTCGATTAAGGATTGTTTGCGACGATGTTGAAATACAATAAAACATGTATAGATTTTTTATTTTAATGGCGATATGTATGGATCAGGGTCAACTGCCCGTTGAGGCTTGGCATAGTGACGACAATTTTTAATAATTGTCATCCAGATCCGGCTGAATTTAGACAATAGTCTGGCCAAAGAACCAGGCCACTGGTTGGAATGTTTTTGACATCGACCGGTCGGCCTTATTGACCTTGTATTTGACTACCATTATTAGCTTACAAGGAAATCACCGTAATATATGAACGAATCGCCTTTGCTTTGAAGTTTGGTCTTAGATGACTCGTCATCTGTCAAGGAACGGCCCTTGGTTTGGCGATTCGCCTATAGATGGCTCGGCAAGTGACTATACAGTGTTGCGAAACTGCTAGAAAATGTTTAGAAACTGCTGCGTTTGAGCTGAATGAAGCACATTTTTTTTCTTGGTTTTTGGCGGTTACGTTACAATGTCATACGAAATAAGTCCACATTCTGTTGAAATGGATCGTAGTCAGAATGCTTCAGAACTAGTGAGTACCTACGTTGAACATAGACTCCATGAAACACCGCATGGAAATTTTTGATTTATGTTGTCTGTTTAATATAGTTTATGCTGTCATAGATTGCCCAGTGGGGGTTGCACAAATAAATCTTAATGTTAATGAATGACGAACTCACAATACAGAACTGTTTACGATTCCACATCATTTTACGAATTATGGTTATTAGAGTTCTTAGATCTGGCAACGCCGCTGTAAGCTACAATATGTACAGATATTTTCAGTAGCAATACTAAGCACATCAAAAAGCGCACGAAAAATGTTTAGATTTGACTTTGGTTTGCCAGGTTTTAGATATAAGTAGGTTAGGTAACACATGAATATTTAGTTCTTATTTAGTTTTTTAATTTATATAAAGATATTGTAATCTGTCACAAACATAATGTTTTTTATGTAATGAGAAACCGTAAATAAATAAATTGTCTCAACTGTATCGCTTACAGACTACGACTATTACTCGCTCTTGTACACACATACACCCGCACATATACACACGTGAATTGTGTAACCACTGTTTTCATTCAATTTTTGAAAATATCCAAAAACGTACTGTCAATGACATTCAAAAATGCGATGAGAAAATCTTTAATGCGGTAAGACAAAACTAGAAAACATGTCTATGAGCTTAAACAAACAAACGTCAGCGCCCCGAGCCCGATTGCATACGTGTCTGTGAGAGAGATGGATGTACTATATGACAATCTTTTCTGTTCTGATCGACTAGGCCATAAATGATCCCACGTGAATAAAAATGTCACGTTCCCGATACTACCCGTCTCGTCTGTTAGGGTTTCGTGCGGCAATGGCCTTCGTGCATAGAAATAACTCCTTGGCTCTTAGTCAGGCCTCCTTGACATTGAAACGCGATGAATTTTCACCACCCCATCCTTCTACTTTATGTCCTTTTGATTATGCATCCTATAGAAGATCTGAAGTGCTTCTCAGACATTTTTTCGAGAGCGAGTTTCAATGTATCAAAGAATCTAACCGTCACTCCTTGAAAAAATCAAGATACTTCTCGATGTTATGCAGGCCTCTGCTCTAGTCTATTGCCTCGGCTAAAAAGTATTTTAAATAAAATTATGTCAGTGGTTAGATATCATACAGGTTGAAGGCATATCCAAAAATAACATACGTATATGGCCGATTTTATTAAGCCGGGGCGCAAAATTGCGCGAAGAGCACAAACTCAACTAATGACCAGGCGTTTTTCCAGGTAATGGATCTGACGCGGAATAAATATAAGTAGTCGATTACTTGTAAAATATCTCTCAAACTAGAGAAACATTATATGATTTCCATAAGATGGGTCTCTATTACCCATTCTAAATCAAGAAATACTTCTTATATCACCCGGTTTAGCTACAAAAACCTATTCTTTTTATTTGTACGCGGACACAAACTTAACCTCCACCAAAACAAAGGCAGGATTTGCGCCCTACTCGAAGCATAGACCAAATCTGACACAATATCTAGGTTAAGATGACAGCAACTTCTGAGCATCTTATTGCATAACAGTGTCACAACTTACCTGAGAGAGATAATAATAAAATGTATACTTCTAACAGTCTATCAACCTGTCCATTGAGGTTGACTTCAAAAACCTATTTTTTCTGTTTGTAGATTAGTCAAACTAGATCATGTCCTTGCTGTACAAAATTCTGCTTAATAAAATCTTTAAAGACATACAATAAATTACAGAATGAATTCTTTAACAAACATCGGGTAAATATTCAACTTATTTTCCCACGCGGGATGGACAGCAGCACACCCCCATAATACGTATTTGGAAGGCATTACAGGTTCAAGAATTGGGAAGCAGTCCCATATCGAAACCATATTCTCAAGGCATAGAACACTAGGGAGCATTCTCACAAAAACCAAACGCAGGAATGAAAATCAACCAAGGGCTGCAGGTTCCACGAGAATGTGGAGTAGTTTACATCGGGAAGACGAAGAGACCACTGTCGTGAGGATAAAGGAGCACCGACTTCACAATCAATGGGCCGAAACAGAGAAATCAGGGAACGCAGAACGCGCATGGAGAGGACATCGCCGAAAACTAAGGAGGCAGATTTTATCCATCAACAGCAACGTGTAAAGAAATGCCAGCATAGAAATCAAACCAATATGGGAGCCTCTCATCAGCAGCATCATGATCACCGATCGACTACATCACCCAACAATATACGTCATCACATAGGTCACGTCAGCGATAAAAGTATACATAGCAGTGGAACGAACGTTTATGCCAGTTTACCTGAAAACGATTGAAGATAACTTATCAATTGAAACGATGTGATCTCAAAAATTGTATAGGCAATGAAGTCCGAAGTGAAACTTTTCAAATCTCCTATGTATGTGGCTATGTCCACACTCGACCAATTTCGGTTATCCAGGTGACAGAATATTACCGACTAATACGTGCACAACATGAACCGAATTAGTAACCCAGCGCATCGCATTTCACAGATGATCCGCCTAGGGTCAATTTGCGTACTTCCTCTATCCGATATGCAGTGACGACCAACGTATGTGGCCTGTGCCCGAGTGGCCTGGATGCAAACATCGCAAATATTCAAACTGTTGCTGTTTGTTGCTGGTAAGGCCGCATCGATCCCCGAGCGCGCACAAAACTATGTACGGCGCATACTTTCAATAATAATTATCGTTAGCTGGTGCCTGTAAGCTGTATAGTGCAGATTCTGCAGCATCTGGCATATCACTGGCGTATCTAGAACTACTTCTCTGGATGAGAGTTGAAACTAGGTACAGTATCCTGATAGCAGGGGTCTTCCATCTCAACAAAGCTAATCTGCTGTGAAACAGCAGGAAACGATAAAAAAAATCTGCATACCGAAGCAGCCGCGTAGGCAGTAGCCTAAATTCTGGGGGACCGCCGTTGCTATAAGGAGCTTAAAGACACCTTTGTTAATTCGATTATTTTTGAACAGCCTAGGATTAGTAGATATATTGTTCCACAATCTCGACACCCTATTGACAATGGAGCGGTCGTATCGGTCACCTCTGAATGTTCGACACGGTTAGGATCAGAGGTCGAAGAAGAAATAATTGGTAAT